GGAAATTCATTAATGAACAATTAGAATTTAATTCCTAATAACACGAAAAATTGCTAATTAGCGTTCAATTGAATTAAGTATTTAATTAATTATAATATAACGATGCGACGTTTGCCCGTTAATACGGGTGATACGAAACGAAGATATGCTTCAAGTCGACATGCACTTTTGTTGTTTATAAATGCAGAAACATACCCTGATACCGTTGTGAAATATCCAGTCGCTGCAAATGATCCAAGAATGCTTCTTAAAGCCAAGGGCGGTCAAAGGGAAGTTAGCCTTCTCCGGAGAAATGCAAGTTACACCGCAGAGGATGTTCGAAACCCAACGTTCATTCAGTTTCTCTATTTTCACTAAGAACGGCTTGCCTTTTATCAAAGGACGACTAGACATCACCACTCCTAGAAAATTAAATGATATAACTTGTAAATCTTCGAATCAAAACGAAATTATACTTATAATAAATAGACTACGTGTTTTTGTAAAAAATAAAACATTATGTCAATTTAAAAGATTAAATCTGAATCGAGGTTTCTTTTATGTTTTACAAATAATTATAGGTTTCTGCACATTCTTATATATTATATGCAAGAAGCAATTTGTGCNTTTAAATGTTCATTGTTTAAGAAAAATTGTTTTTCATATGTAAATGTATGTGCAATGTCTTAAAACTGCATAACATCAAATTCCTGGGTTTTATAAAATTTTTAAGCTGGATTAAAATGAAATATTTTAAAGGAGGATTTAATAAAAATGACCTAACTGCTTCAAAATTAATTAGAAGAATATAGTAAATATCCCAAAATTTCTGTTCATCTTCTACTCACTTTTCTGTCTACAATTTTACATGTAAACCAATGAGTAGAAATTCTGACATGAAATGAAGACATTTACTATATATTGCTACAGAAAATTCATAAAACTGCTTAAAACTTTGATCGGGTGAAAGCAAACGTACTTTCGCAAAACCGGTGGCATGGGATCCAGCAGTAGCTCCAACGAGTCCTGCAACCTCAAGCTGGCGTTCGGAGACACCGCGCTATTCTGCTGTTGCTTGCTGCTTGTCATATTTATAGTTACAGTGCTACCGAAAAGGTCGATCACCGCGTACACCATTTCCGGTATATTCGACGCGGCTATGCCCATGTCTTCCCCGTTCAAGTAGAACTTCAAATTCCCCTCATGCGTGCGTTTCAATCCGATTTTATCACCGACCCGCATCCACTCCAGGCTCGGGCAGTAATTCATGCACAGAACGTACCCATTATGCCTTACTTCGTTACCTAAATTTCAAATTTCATATATTAGCAATTTACAGGTGACAAAGGATTCTGCATTCACGTTCACGTAGAAAATACGAAAATTCGTATAAACTCTAATAAAAATTTGGGATCTCCCATTTGTAGATCTTATATTCATAAGTAGACTGGAGATTTTTATGCATTTTCATGAAACGTTTATAAAAGTTAAAAAAAATGAACATTGTATTTTTAATTA